GGATAGATCACAAACTTTAATGAAGGAATAAAGTTATAAGAAATCATACAAAAGAAAACTTTCTGTTCTTGGAGAAAATATTTTGTTTTTCTTTTTGATAAATTCTCATCAGAATCTACTTTTCAACATAGTCTGACATCAACAAATGGTRATAAATATGTGGAGAAACTGGAACTCTTGCACGTTTTTAACAGGAATGAAAAAGGTGTAGCCACATTGGAAAAAGTTGGTTTAAAAGGTAAGCATGACTTTACAATAAAGCCCAGTTATTCCCCTTATAGGCATTTACCCCATGGAAATTGAAACATATGTCCCCACAGAGATATTTATGTGAATGTTCATAACATTATTATTCAGAATAACCACAAAGTTAAACAATCCAGAAGGTACCAAATAGTAAATGGATTAAAAACAAAAAAGATAAATATAATCATATGATAAAATCCTGTTCAACAATAAAAAAAAGATTTAACTATTGATACATTCTACAGCATGTCTGAACTAAAATTCATTATACTAGGTGTACAAAGTCAGATGAAAAAGATTACATTTCATGTATGATCGATTCATATAAAATTTATGGAAAAGAGGAAATGTGTGCTTATGGAGATTAAGTTTGTGGTTGACTAAGACAGGGGTTCACTGTAAAAAAAAGCCAGTAGAATCTTAGGAAGATGGAAATGTTTCAATACTAGATTGTGGTAGTGGCTGGACAATGGAGTAAATTCAAAGAGTCACTAAAATATTCACTTAAAATGGGTTGAAAGTATGGTGTTCAAATTTCATCTCAATAAAGTTGTTTACATAAAACTATCAAATTTTTCACAAATAATTTATTCCATTTTTCCCTTTCATTCATTCAAAGCATTGAGAGAGCATCACTCTCTTCTATGCAGATGTACAAATGTTACCTTAARATATCTGTATCTCCCTCTTTGTTATATTATCTGAGAAGAGTGATGCAACTGTTCAGTCAATCAAACTTTGAGGGTTCATATTAACCTTTATCAATATCTTTTACTCAATCTGAGTTTAATGGATCTTTATTTTTGCTCCTCCCCTGTTTTTTTGTTTTCAATTTTTTCTGTTGTTACCTTCATTAAGTGCTTATTTTAACTTACTTGTATTATTTTTAAAAGTTATGAATTAAAATTGAAATTCTTTGAAAAAAAATTTTTTAAAAAGGAAATAGGAATAAAAGTGGTAACCATTAATTTTGTCAATTAAGGTTATTAAGATTAAAATGAAGATACACTATCACCTACTTTATTTTCTTGTATAAAACTGAGAAGCACTGATTCAATTTCTCATTGAAGAAAAGTCATAAGAAGGCATATGCCAATATTTTATAATATATACAAGATTTACAGAATATAAATGAGGAAAATGAGCCAAGAATGTATTTTATGCCTTTTTATTTTTCTTAAATGAAAGAATTTTCTGCTTTCTTGGTCATTTGAAACTTGTAATGAAGCAATCCAAAGGTCAAACTTAAATCTCTCTCTTTGTATAGTGTCAGGTTGGTTGAAGATATTTTTATATTGACCTATTGAAGTTGAAATGATATATTTCACAATCCTTAACAAAATTCAGAATATTCTAGGTGAATTCCGACAAGTTCAGGGACAATAGCTTTAACCAATCCAAATACCCCCACTTTTCTTTCTGTAAATTGTAAGAAGTCAATAGATTTTAATTTAACACTGGGGAATCATAAAAATAAACTATAGGGTTCTCAATGCTTTAGATTAATCATAACCTAGACTCTGTAGTTTAGAGTGGTCACCGTCCACCAGCTTTCTCTATAATGTCTAGCAATGAATAAAATTGTACTCCAGCTTATTGATCAAYAACACAGAGATACATAAGTACAAATATGTATATATACACACATATATTATATATGCATATATGGATATTGAAGGTGATTATATAATAAATGAAGGTTTCAACTAGGATAAATTCACTGTACCCTTTTCAAGCTGATACCAAAATTGTTCATCATCAACATTACAAAAACTCACATAGAAGTTTTCTTCTTTAAAATGAAAATATAGGGTAATAGAAGTAAAAAAAAGTTAGCAAAGTATGATAACTACAGAGATTATGTTTTTTCAAAAGCAAAGTGCTTCAAATTATGGACCATAATCCTCAGGATAACCTGGATTGGAATAGAGTTGTTAGGCACATGCTATTAAAAAAAAAAAAAAAAAGAATAGAAAATCCACCCAATCCACCCAGTTCTATTTATATAGAATACTTGAGTAGTTGCTCATAATCTTAATTTTTTCAAATGATTTTATGATTATTTATATATGAAAATCATTGTTAATAAAAGTGACCTGCACTTTAGTATTCTGTGGGGAAATTTAAAAATAAGTGAAATAAATATCCAGGTCTCACTCACAAGAGAGCTGAATTAAGTTTCTTGGAGTGCATCTTGGGGGATAATATTTTGCAAGTGTTCTCTAGGTAATACAATGCTAAAGATAGGGCTAGGAAACACTGGTATAGAACTTGAAAACTGATGTTTTCACAATTTCCACTAGTTCTTATAGGCTATGTTGACTGATTTCATTAATTTATATTATTCTTTTGGCCTGCAACTGTGACTGAATCTATAACCTCTGAACACTGAGCACTGTTTACACTAGAAATTGCAGCTGCTTAAAAGTAGACACAACAAACCAAAATCTACTGAGGTCAGATTAGAGAGAGAATTCTTCATATTTGTGCTATTAGAGGAAGTTTTTATTTGCTTTTTTGCTTTGTTTTTGTTTTTGGTCTGGGGGTGCTGCAGGTTGAACCAGAGGCTTTGTGGATGTGCTWTGTAAGTGCTCTGCCACGGAGATATATCACCAGCTCTAGTGGAAGAAGAGTTTTGAAGGGATTCAGAAAGGGACCACTAGTGAGTAAGTAGATGTTTATGAGACTTACTGAAGGCAGGGAGGAGTTGCTACAGATGAAGAAGAGGAGAGAAACAAAGAGCAAAATGTAACATGATTTTGAAGGCCCAATTCTTGGTAGAAAAAGTAGAGCAGAATGGTGTTTTGGGGACACTAACAAACCACACATAACATTCCAGTGTCTAATGAGAACATGTTTTAATATAGTTTCTGAAAAATACATCAAAATACAAAAACAGCTTCCTTAAAACTAACACCATGATTTTCTCACTAAGTTGGTCATAAATATTAGAAATATTAACTCTCTCCCTAATTCAAACCAAAATCCTTASCTTGGGAATTCAGGGGACCTCACTTTCTAAGTGATAGAGGACAAACAGATGAGGATGGTGGGACACAGGATTAAGAGAATAATTCTATAAAGTGGGCCTATTGTGCTGATGCACATGTGCTTTCTTTTTAAAAGAAGAAATTTATCTGCATCTCTGCCTGGCGTACGTGAACAGGATATGTCACATTCCTCAACAAGCTACCTGTTATCTGCAAGGAAATGATGCAGGAAAAAATATTCATAGGAGGAACCCAAGTTACATTGAAGAGAGAGATTTTTGTGATGCTTTCATAGACAAGATTCTGGAAGATACAGATAATTTCCCCAACCATAAAATCTGTAAGAATGTATGGTTATGAATCTAATTAGAACCACTCAGCATGGACACAGGGGACCTAAAATTGGCATGGCAGAGAGCACTTAAAATTTTCATGTCACTTTGCTGTCAGTCAAAAGTCAAGAGGTGGACCCAGATGGGACTCTTAGAAAACTTCTCTRGGATCCCCCAATAAAGCTGAAGTGCAGAAGAGACACACTGTCTCTCTCCTCTCTGAGAAGACCCACTCTGTCCCTTGAGAGTGTCCCCTTTCCTTTTTCCTATCCTTTCAGTAAACTCATTTCTGTTATTTTGAGTGACATGTCTGAAATCCTTCTGACTTGATCATAAAAATTGGGGTTTGAAGGATGGGTCTTTGCTCTACCTCAGTTTCTTGGAAGGCCCCAGCTCTGTAATTACAAATTAATGTTTTGGATACATACCTCACCACTTTCTGCACTGTAATCTCACCTCTGTACTGCTCTGATATATTTTTCTGCTTCTGAAAACTTAATCACATTGTGAAAGTTCTGCATATCATTCAAATTAAAAGAAAAAATATTCCTTTCTCCCCTCAAAGCCTTTCTGACTGTTCCTTTAGAAACATATTGCAAAATATTGTATTTCTGCTACTAGTTAAGTTACTGTCTACATTACATAGTTTTGGTACATGTTTCATTATACAAAGATTTGAAGGTAAACTATTGAGAAATCCCTCTTTCTAAATCCAGTTTTGCAGACAACAGAGGAAAAAGGGATGATATGATTTATTTATTTTTCTCTCTCCCTTATTTCCTTCTTCTGCTGCCTGGGTTTCTTCAGGTATGAATGATCTGAGTAYGCACTTTCTAATTTTTAATTTAGTCTAATTAAATCTGCACAACACAATTGGCATTTGTTGTTAAACCTAGACATCATAGATCTACAAGCTTAATTCTGCCACACTGAAACTTTAAAGAGCTAAAATTTCATTACCGTCATTTTGAATGAAAAACCATAGGACCCAGGTCTATATTTTCTAATATCATTTGAAGGTTAAGTATTTTCCTGCCTATAATATGATGTCTCATAATACTTGTATTATTTGCCTTAGCTGGAGAATATTATAGAATCATATCCTGTGTTTGTTTTTTTAAATTTTGTTTTGAAATACTTTAATGGCTTCCAGTCTCTTGGTTGTGGAAATGAAGCATGATGCTGAGTCTGTGGTCACCAACTTATGCCTCTAACATCTGTTCACAGTTACATCCTAAGAATCTGGTGGTGGAACTCCCTAATGGAACAACTACCTAGTTCATATCTAAAGAGAATTTGCATTATCACATTTAGGATTTCAAAGTTTATGTAGCACATATTACATGTGATTAGAAAGTTTCATGGAGACATGAACAAGAATTTTAAAATGCTTATGTCCTTTTTTTTTCAAACCACTTTAAGTTAGTCTTACATCTTGAGAATCACAGGCAATGGTACTTGGATTTTCTTTCTTAGTTGATTCAACTCGAGTGTTTTCATTGTTTCCAGTAGCACTTTGCTGGGGAGAGAGAGAGAGAGAGAGAGAGAGAGAGAGAGAGAGAGAGAGAAAGCATTAAAAACAAGAAAAATGGATTTAACAAACAGATTCACATAGTCATTGTAAAACATGCTACAAAGGCAGCATTGTACTCAGAGAAAAACAAGAAAGTAGCAATTTGTATATAACAGAGACCTTACAATTGTGCCTTAGAAATTATTCACATTGAAAAGAAATACTTTCTGTTCAAATTTTCATTGGTGATGTCCACTGGGATTAATTTGCTAATGAATATATTCATTTCTTATAGTATCATATTATTTTAAAGATCCTGGACCCTCAAAAGCCAGATACCACACTGGGTGCCATGGCATGCACCTGTAATCCCAGTGGCTTGGGAGGCTGAGGCAGGAGGATATCGAGTTCAAAGTCAGCCTCAGCAAAAGTGAGGTATTAAGCAACTCAGTGAGACTCTGTCTCTAAAGAAAATAAAAAATAGGGCTGGGTTTTTGGTTCAGTGGTCAGGTGGCCCTGAGTTTAATTCCAGATACAAGAAAAAAAAAAAAAAAGGCCAATACCCGTTCTTTCTCTTTATTTAAATCCCTAGCATGCTTCATTTTCTTAATAATAAAGAAAATGTTATGTAATACTTCATAAATTACATAGAGGATTATATTCACTCCATTGCTTCACTAAGCAAGTTCTGCTTTATACCTTTGGGAAACCTAAATATAATTCTAGAATTTATCTCTTTAGGAACACTACATTGAACAAGAAGTTTCCTGTTTTTTTAACAGAGAATGGTATGCCACAACTAATGTATTTCYACATCGCTATAGATAGCTCTAAGATTATCCACTCAAATGTGAATGTCTTTTTCAGGCAGAGCTGATTTAAATATGGTGTTACACTTATCAAAGCATGAGGGGACTTCTGCAGAAGAGACAAACAATAAATTCAACAAATGCTATTTCCTGAGTCTGAAACTTTGATCACAGGGGGGAAAGAAATATATAGATAGATATACACATACCTATATAGTATACCAATTTCATTTGGTATAATAAGAAAAGGCATTGTAGACAGGGTATCTTTAAAATGTATCTCTGAATAGTTCAGCAAGAATGAGGAGACTCTCTGTGTGAAGGTAATCATTTAAGCAAAGACACAAAGGAAGAAGGGTCCTGTGTTAGCATGTGGCTTAATAAGGTAGGAGCAGATTAAGCATGGAAAAAATACAGCAAAGTAGAGAGCTACAGATTTGTAGTACAAAGATCATACTTAATTTAGTAGCCAAAAGGAGGTCCCTTGGATATTTTGAAACAATTGTGGCATGGCCAAAACCTTGTTACCATGATGTGACAGCAGCATACAGGTAAAAATAGAACAGAAGACAAAGAAAGCAGTAGACTAATAAAGAAGCCATTAAAATGAGCAGGAAGATGGTAACAAGGGCTGACGAGTTGTCAATACTGACAATTTAAAGCAGACTGGACAAGTATTATATATTGAGATAAAAGGTTAGAATTGATGAAATTTGATGAGTTCTACAGAAATAGACAAACTGGAAGAAAAATATCTTTATAGCAAGAAGGGTGACATTATATTTCCATTAGAGAGTGTAAAGCATTTAGGACTCCTAAGTAGACAGGCACTATTGGATAGCAACATTAGAAAGAAAATCAATTTTAACAAGAATCAAAACAGCTATTTATTCAGCTAAAATATACTGAACATCTAMCACCTGTCTTCCCATAGCCTCCAACTTACAGTCACATTGAGGAAACAGGTTAAAAAGAATAAAAGCAGTAAATAAACACTAGTACTGAAGGAAAGTCTCCCCTGGCTCACAACAAGAACTACAGCTGCAGCACTATGAAGAATAGATTAAATCACTGAAACAGAAAAGGGGCAAAGTTAGTATATTTTGTTTCTACTGAACAACCAGATAACWGAATAAATAGTCCCCGGATTGCCTTATAAATTTATTTTAATATTTAACCACTTTTAAGAAAAAAGAAAACTATATTCTCACAATAGTTATTTTTATTTCTCAATGCCATCGCTCAGTCTTCATCAATATTAAAATGCATGGATATCTTATAAGCCACAATTTTAGCCCCCATGTTCAAAGTACTGTCTTTGCACATCTAATATAAATGTTGCCACCCTTACAYGTTTTTATCTATGATTAATAGGTATGCAATTCATAGGGTATAATTGGAAAACTGTGATGCACTTGAATATTTTGACAGTTTTTAGTTTGGGGTTATGTGAATAATATTGTGATGAGCATCAACCTTCTGTTCTCCAGAKTGAATGGATATTTCATATCATTCTTGACATTGATTTAAACATCTGCCTCACTTAATAGGCTGGGAGTTCCCAAAAAGGTAAATATCATTTCTTTCTTATTTAAAAAGAAAATTTACTCTTTTAGTTATTTACTTATTTGCTTTTTGATCTTTTTGTGTATATGGTACTGAGGAATGAACGTGGGGGCACTCTACCCCTGAGCTATATGCCAGCACTTTTTATTTTTATTTTGAAACAAGTTCTCTCCAAGTTACTCAGCTGGTCTCAAAGTTGCCATCTTCCTATCTCACCCTCCCTAGTTATCCAAGTTTAAAGGAGTGTGCCACCATAACCAGCTCAGATATTACTTCTTATTCATCAATGCCTTATTGGAAGCTAGTGCATATTTTGAAATCAATTTATTTTTGTTTACCTTTTCCCTTTTGTTGTTTATTTGCAATAGGTTTCTTAGGATAAAAAAAAAAAAGGTCAGAAATGAAGCAAAGGGAACGTACATATTTATGGTTGGGAAAGCTTTTMAACAGTGTCAGTTTTAATTACTCCAACAATGTAAGACCACAATATTTGCTATGCATACACTCTATACAAAATGTTTAGAGCTCAAAGATTGAAAAACACAGTTCTTTATCTCCGAGTGCACCTGTTTGCTCATCCTAAAATGTTCCTTGTTCCTAATCATCTCTGATTTCTYTCTTTAGGGTTGTGTTTCTCTCAAGGTATGGTACATACTAAGGAATGTGTTCTCTTTCAATTCCCTGTCTTATGCAAGATATGAGTATGTGATCTGAGTTAGGACATTAGTAGCTGCATCACTGGAATTTAATTTAATTTAATAAGTCTGGACTGCGACATACAAAGTCAAGACAGACTGATTTTAAATGGGCTGGCTGCAACTTTAAGCTAACAAGGCCACAAAAAAAATCGCACAACACAGACATAATTTTTCAAATCAAGGACAGGACAGCTCTTTAACCTTAAGGGTCAGCTTCCCTGCTCGAAAGAGAGCCAGAACCCATGATCCATTTATTTATAGGGGAATTAACAAAGGATTTTCTATAGAATGTTCTTCACCACATASGCAGGGGTTGGGCTGGTCAAGCCCCAATGAGTAACACCCAGGTCCAGAGCCATGGGAAAGCAGACTTCTTTGCTGAATGAAGGAGGAGGCCACCTGCATCACGCAGCGCAAACAAAGTGCAATGCTAGACCAACACCCCCTTGGCTTAAGGGTGAGAGAGGATGCTTAATATAGCTCATGGGTGGCTCCCMACAAATAATGAACACTGCTATAGTGATTAGGTTCATTACTTCTGGTTGAATGCCTTGGCTCTGTTATTCCTTATCATTCATGAGTCCCTGGAGCAGCCTTTGTTTCTGTTTTCCCCAGGCTTGTTTCTGCAATTCTTTCTTGATTTTATGATCTTCTGATATTCTATCACTGAATTCCCCTTCACTCAATATGGTCAAATTAGCACTTGTTGCATGTAACTAGGGAGGGCTAAATAATGCAAAATGTCAAAGCCATAAGTTGAAATTGACAGCACAGGGTAATTGCCGTGATAATGGTCTACCATGGAGCCAACCAGATTAAAACCTAACTAAATTGGACAAGCTCAAGAGAGGCTCTTTAATGATGGAAATAATATTTCATGGTGTTCAACATATTCCTAAAAATATACATTTGTGCAGATGATACATTTTCATGCTTGATTAATGACATATTCTTGTGCAAATGTTTTACATTTATGAAAACGTTTCCAGACTTTGGAGACAACAATATGCCCAAAGTGAGAAGTTTTATTTATTATTTAACTATTCATTTGACAATTTACTTATCTATAATTTTGTGAGCCTTTGATATTTTGAATGAAAGATAAAAGAACCTTTATTTTATTAAGCTGTTAAAGATAAGAGGGAAAGACTACTACAACTTTCTTTCTTCATAAATTTCCTAATATCTTCCGCTGTTTTCATCAACTAAATAACTGAGGTGCCTGGTTTTCTACATTTTATATTAAATACTGAGGTGATCACACTTAATTTTGCTTCAGAATTAAAAGAACTATAGTAATTACTTTTAACAATGGAAAGAAATTATATATTACTGCAAAGGTATAAGCACCGCTGCATAAATTTTTAAAATTTATTTAAATAAAAAAAGCATAGCATTTAATTAAAGCACAGCTTGCTTTTAAGCCCAATATATTATTTCTCAATATAACTCTTTGTTGTCACTGACATCTCTTCTTTATACTTTTGTATAAAGAAAGCAAAATGAAAAAATATATAAAACTTATTGAATCTGATAAGCGAACTTGAATTTGAACTGACTTTGGGGATAGATAATGAATTTTATAGTCAAAGAAATGTGGATTTCAATCTTGGATTAGCACTTAAATGAAATAGGGCTTCAGACAATTTATATATCTTTGCAGGACTTCTGTTTCCTGCTGCTCTGCCAAAGGAGGGCAAAATCACTTAAATTGCAGTGTGCTTTTTTTTTGTTGTCATTTGTTTCAGGGGAGTAGGAAACTAAATAGAAAGTGTCTGGTACCTTCTGGGAAGCTATTGCTTTAAAATTTACTATTTACTTGAATAAATAGAGACCTCCATCTTAGTCTGGGAGAGTATGGCCCTGAAATAGAGTGACTTTATTTGTAAGCTAAATGGTGGACTTGGGCTGCCCCCCCCCCMAAAGTTATGCCAATATC